GGAACCTCTAGGTTATTGGGGAAACGTGAGAATTTGTTACTCTAGCTTTTTCTTTATTGCATTTTATCTCTTCCACCTGTGTGCCTTCACGGGTTGCTTCTGCTGATTGTGTGCAGGTAGTGCATGACCCGTAGCCAGTCGGGAGATCTACTACCACTAGACCAGGAGCTTGAACGAACCTGCAGAAACTTCAAGCGGGCTCTAAAGGCGCGACTGGCTGCGAAGGAGGCGCTAGCACAGCTACAGATCACTGAAGAAGAGGAGATGGCTGATCCACAGGGCCATGCTGTGGTCGATCCCGAGGAGCAGACCATGGGATCCTACTGGACCGCTAGAGCTGCGGACATGAGGTCACCCATTCAGGATCCTCATGTCCCAACCAACAATTTTGAGGTGAGCACCTCAGTAATCACCATGCTGCGCGGTTCAGTGGTGTTCCGTGGTAAAGAGGGGGAGTGCCGTCGTTCACATCTCAGGCGATTCCACGAGCTCATCGATGGAATCAAGATCAATGGGGTCCCAGCAGATGCCATCCAGCTGAGGTACTTCCCATTCACCTTGGAGGGACAGGCCAAGGAGTGGCTAGACACTCGACCTCCAGGATCCATCACCACGTTCGCCAACCTGGCGGACAAGTTCCTTACCCGCTACCATCCTCCGTCCAGGACGGCGGACTTGCAGAAGCAGATTACCCACTTCACCCAGGATGAAGATGAGACCATCCGGGACGCCTGGGAGAGATACAACAGCCTCTTCCTGAGGTGTCCCAATCATGGTTTCAACGATGCTTTCAAGGTAGGAACCTTCTATCACGCCCTCTTCTCGGAGGACAAGCAGCTGATTGATTCGGTTTGTGGCGGGAACATGCTAACCAAAACACCGCCACAGCTGAATCAACTCTTTGAGGAGATGGCGGAGAATGGGTATGATTGGGGTACTGCCAGGAGATCGAGACGAGCACCAGGACAGGGTGTGCATGCTGTAGGCACCTAGTCATCAGATTTGGTGCAGGTGGTATCGAAGCTGGTGTCAGCTATCGATCGTTCTGGTTTGATTGCAGGTACAGGACAGCCGCAGGCGATGCTCTGCCAGTGGTGCGAGAGCACCCATCACACTGTTGAAGACTGCCAAGCGATGAAGGAATCGACAACACCCCAGGAGCAGGTGAACTTCATCAACAATGTTAGGCGCAACGACCCCTACAGCAATACTTACAACGAGGGGTGGCGCCAGCATCCCAACTTCTCCTAGGGTGGGGCAAATTCCAGACCACCGGGCTTCCAGAGGCCACCATATCAGTCCAGACAGGGGCAATTCCAGCAGCATCAGTCTCTCTACCAGCCCATGCAGGGGCATGCTGCTCCATCACAGCCGCGACCTTTCCAGCAGCCAGGTGCAGCCCCTGCCGCCCCAGTGCAGAATGATCAGATGGCTGAACTGCGGGAATTGGTGGGTTCTCTCGCCAGTTCTAGTGCTCAAAAATTTAACACCATCGAGCAGTTCATGGAAAAGGCATCGGGTAAATTCCTGGCTCTTGAAGCTGGCCAGAGGAACACACAGGCTGTCTTGCAGGATATCCAGACCCAGCTGGGGAGTGTGGCTCAAGCAGTGGCACAAAGGGCTCCTGGTACCTTGCCCGGTCAGACCATTCCTCACCCTCAGAACCCGAATGAGCACTGCAATGCCATCATGACCAGGAGTGGCAAGATGACTGTTGATCCACCTGCTCGGGAACAAGAGAGAGAGGCCCCTGCCTCGGCATCTCCAGCAGCTGAAGCAGAAGCCGAGAAGGAGGTTGAGGTGTCTGCACCTAAACCGCAACCAGTAGTGAAGGAGTATATCCCTAAACTCCCCTTCCCTACTCGGTTGTACAAAGACAGGCTGGAGGCAGAGTTTGAGAGCTTCATGGCCATGCTTAGGAAGCTGAATGTCCAAGTGCCTTTCCTGGAGGCACTATCTCAAATGCCTAAGTATGCGAAGTTCCTGAAGGATCTTCTCTCAAAGAAGCAGAAGCTGAGCGAGCTGGCCATTGTGGAGCTCAGCGAGGAGTGCTCGGCCATTCTGCAGAACAAGCTTCCGCAGAAACAGAAGGACCCGGGTAGTTTTACTATCCCGTGCTCTATAGAGAATTTGCATATAGAGAGGTCCTTGGCGGATTTAGGTGCTAGTATAAATGTTATGCCATATAAACTGTTTAAGAAACTAGGCCTAGGTGAACCCCGTGCTACTAGGATGAGCCTTCAATTAGCTGATCGATCTGTAGTGCATCCTAGGGGCATAGTGGAAGACCTTCTGGTTAAGGTTGGCAAATTCAATTATCCTGTTGATTTTGTGATTTTGGACATAAATGAGGATGTGAATGTGCCATTGATACTGGGAAGGCCTTTCCTGGCCACCGCCAAGCCCCTCATAGATGTGCATGATGGGACCTTAGTTTTGAGGGATGGTGAGGAGCGAATAGCGTTTTCAATTTCTAATACTCATCCTGCTTCGTCACCTTTGCATGCTGTATCTCACCAGGAGCACGAGTCTGTCGCGTATCCTCCTGTGTTGCCTATTTTGCAGGATCCGCCTCCCATACCTTCGCCGCCACTCCCGACCACTCCGTCATCAAAGGAACAAATCAGGGAGGAGTGGCGGCCGAAACAGCAGGCAGCTAAGCCTGCTCGAAAGAAAGCCGGAGACCACTATGAGCTGGTCCCGCCCCCACCTTGGCCATCCGAGTATTCACTCGCTTGCATCCTGCCGGATGGCCAAGTTGAGTTGGCAAATGCTGGTGGCCACATTCGGCGTGTGCATGACCACCATTTGAAGTTGTACCTCAAGAGCGAGGTGGATCCGCTCTTGAAGGCACCTGCTCCTTCACCTCACTGAGCATCCACCGACTGGCGTCCAGCTAAAAGACGGTAAAAAAGCACTTGTGGGGAGGCAACCCCACCTAGGTTTGCATTTTCTTACCTTTTTCCTTTTGATTTTTTGTGTTTTTTGAGTCTTGAGGGGTTGTTCACGAGTTGTATGTCGTTCTGGAGTGAAAACAGGTCATTTTCGGAGTTCTGGCAGCTCACACGGCCAGCCCTGAATGTCACACGGCCGTATGGAAAATAATTTTGGCCGTGTGAGCTCTCGCAGAATTCCACACGGCCAGATGAGATGCTGGCACGGCCGTGTGGAAAGTTGCCCTAGCCGTGTCTGCTCTCGCATAAATTGGCACGGCCAGACGAGCACTCGGCACGGCCGAGTGCAATTCCTCGGCCAGCCTGTGTCGGCCGACACGGGCAAAAGTGCCCATGACACGGCCGGGTCGTCAGAAAATCCCAATCCACTCGCCGGAAACCTCTCCCCCTTGCCGGAAAACCGCGCCAAAACCCCACTTTTCAATTTTTTCGGCCATTTTTTGTCATTTTTTCACCAAACCAACAACAAACCCACCCTTCCTACACCAAAAGCGGCCTATCCCTCCATATTGAGGAGATTTGGCCGACGTTTTTGTCGCCGGAGACGATTTCCGGCGAGGCTCCGACGAGGCTCCGACGAGCACTTCCGGGCATTTTTTCGGTGTTTCGTCACTTCCATCGCCTTCCCCTCATCATCCCCTACACCTCTACTTGAGTCTCCAGGTTTGATTTTGCCTTTAACTATATTAATTGTGGAGAATTGGGTGTTAGGGTGCATGTTTAGAGAACCTCATTGAATCTTGTGATTTTTGTGCAATTGATTGAGGGGAATGCATGGAGTGTGTTTGAATTGTGTTGGGCAAAGTCCCTCTTGATTGTTTGAGCCCTTCTGTGCGAGAATTGTGCCAATTTCATGCTTACCTTAATAGTGCACAAAAGGTGTTCGATGAAATGCCTGTTTTCGTACCATTTTGTGGGGGTCGGTTGGGGCCCTTAATGATGTGCTTTGAGGGTGTATTTGGTATGATTGTGAACCTTGAGTTGCCTAATTGTTCATGGATGTGCACCCCCACTCAGATTATGCTTGATTTATCGAGTTTCTGACCCCCGAACTATGGATGAAACCATGGTTAGGCTGTTTTCTGTTCTTAAGTGTGGGGGTGTGATTAACATTTTCCTTGGCTGTTTGGTTCCACTTTGGGTTGTTCTTTTGCAGGACCATGTTGAAACCCAACCTCTGGCACCAGTTTGTTCAGGATTTGAGAAGGGGGCCCCACCGGGATCGTTTTCAGAACGTCCTGGCCTGCAAGTTTGGGCAGCATCATTACTGGTCGAAGCGCGAATTGGAGAAGCTCAACTGCTACGAGCACCTCTCCCCCGTTCTCACCAACAAATACTGGCGCCGCCTGCTCAGCATTCGCGCGACGGTTTACCATGAGCTCGTGCTTGAGTTCTACACCACCTTCAAGCACGCAGCCACGGCCGATTGGAAGGACGAAGCTGCAGTCCAGTTCCGACCCGGCGGTGAACCACGCTCTATGAGTTACGACGAGCTGGGGGACGCCCTCGGCCTCAACATGGTCAACGACAGGGACTACATCACAGAGATCGCCGAGCCTGACAGGGTGGACTTCGATAGGCTGTACTTCAGCCTCGCTCAGCCTCGTCAGCTTCCCTTCAAGGCGGGGAAGACGAAGGCCAGCACATTGCAGCTTGAAAACCGTCTCCTCCATCACATGCTGGCCAAGTCTTACACCCCAGCCTCAGACACTGCCAGCGCCATCACCAAGAGATCCCTGTACTTCATCCAGTCCATGCGCCAGAGGGATCATGCCCTACACTTGGGCTCGGTGGTGGCGAGGACCTTCGAGAAGAGTGCTTCTGAGCTGAAGAAACTCCACTGCACTCCCCTCATCACCTGCCTGGCAGAGTACTTCCAGATATCCCTGCAGGGGTGCACAGAGCAGGGAGGGACCACTCCCTTTGGCCGGGCTACGCTCACCAAAATGCTCCTGCTTTGAGAAGAGCGAGGTGTCATGTGGATCGAGGGGTTTCCTCCACCTCAGATTCCAGAGGCGGTCCAGCAGGAGGTTCCAGAGGGTGCAGCTGATGCGAAGGTCTAGCCCGAGGACATGGATGACACTGCTGCCGCCCGCCCTACCACCTTCGAGTACGGGGGTGGCAGCTCCAGTTTCCCGGGGCAGGATTACTTCACCTCCCAGTTCGAGCAGCTGCGTCTCCAGAACCAGCAGATCCTCGACCATCAGATGCAGTTCCAGCAGCAGTACGCGGCTCACCAGGGCGAGAACCACCAGAGGATGGCTGGTTACGATGAGAGATTGGACCAGCTCCAAACCCAGCAAGGAGTGACTCTCGCACACATCGAGCGAGAGAGGCGCCGTTCACGGCGCATGCAGGAGGTCTAGCAGCATTTACTCCAGCTGCTACCGGGCGAGCAGCCAGTTTGGAGGACTCCCTGGGAGGACTCTCCACTTCCACCTCCCCCAGCGGATGGTGATGATGGTGCTGATGGTGGTGACGCCTTCATGAACGACATCGTCTTCGATTTGGATAACCTCGGCGACGAGTAGGCTGTACTCGTTGCCCATCTCAGTGTGTTTTGTTTTTCCTTTTAGACTTTTGTGTGTTTGCTCCATTTGTGAGGAGCTTGAACTTAGTGTCGTTTGTTTTTGTTTTTGTTTGTTTCTTTTGTGGATTGTTTTTGCTGTAGCCGTCTGGGCTAACACTTATCCCTAACGCACAGTGTGCTAGTGTGTTCTTGGTGTTCGATTCGTGCAGAACTGTCCATCTTCCCGTTTGTTTCTCGCTGACTGGTCCACTTCCAGTCCCCCAGCAGTTTCAATCCGGTAACATCGTTCCCCTTCTCTATTCCTCTGCTCCATTGAGGGCAATGTCGTGCTTAAGTGTGTGGGGGGTGCTTTGTATCGGTTGGAGTGTATATATGTGTGCTTGGAGCCTAGTCCACTGTCTAAATCTCGAGATTATATATGTCTATATCTACTGCTGTTTGATCATATTGGCACTGTGTTTTGATTGATGAATTGAATGGTTTTCGGATTGGTGCATGACAGCTTGATTGTGACTAGGACAACCTATGATGAGGGCTAAGACGTGCAGTAGAGTTGTGTAGGGGTTCAGTTTTTCAACTGTTTGCTTACCAACTGTGACTTGGATTGATTACTTGTTCTTGACAGTCTCTTATGCATCTAGTTCAGGGTATCAGAATGTGAGATAGAGCATATAGGTAGCCATGTGAGATTTGAGCCTGCTCGTTTTTTTTCTTGTGCGATAGATCCCTCTTCCATGATGTGTAGCATTCACGTTGTCACTAGCTAAGATGATGGGGGCATAGGATTAGCCCACGACCAAATTTGACTGTCCTGATATGTCATATCCCCTAGTCAGCCCTTTTGAGCCGTGTGTTATCCTTACTTTTGGTCTGAAATGAAAAAAATCACCCTGTTTGCATCTTTTAGAAGGTTCCACAGAGTGGGTTTTACATATTCTCTGCTGTTTCTGCTAAATTTGATGTGAGTGTTGGAGCTAGTGCTTAAAAGTTGAGCTGGGCAGGTATTTGAAATATATGCAGAAGTGGTGGCTCTCTTAAGAAATGAAAAGAAAATGAAAGAAAAACAAAGAAAAATTGAAAGCAAAGAGAGCCACTACCAAAAATCTGAATAATGCCCGGTAAGTAGTGTTTCTTAGCAGTCTGGCTTGGAAATGCTGACATTTTTACCTCCTTCGCTCTTGTGCTCTTGAGCTATTGAGTAATGCAGAATAGCAGAAAGAAAATATCGGTTTGTTTGACTGTGATTGTTTGGGTTTGGAAATGTGGAACCTTGTGCTATGAATGCTTCCACCACCTAAAAGGCCTTTTCCCCATGTCCAAGACCCTAGCCAGTCATTTGAACCTGTGTCTAAGACCTCCTGATTAGTTAGTGGTGACACCCCATATGTGAACTCTAGCATTTAGAGGCTGCCATCATGGTGAAGAGATGTTAGGAATTGAGAGAAATAGCATGCGCATTTTTCGCATCAAATTGTCCTGACCCCACTGGTTGAGAGTGAGTGATTCATTTTCATATTCTATATACTCTTGTACCCCGGTGAGGACCTAGACTGCTCGGTCTCTATTCTGATGTCTTGAGTTGGATGCATGAGTTGACTGTTTTGAGTAAGTGGTTGAGTCAAGTCTAGGTTGGTTGGTCATGTATTGATGTTTGAAAACCAGTACGATTCACGTGTTCTGTGCCTTTATGACTTGTCCCCAATGTTGGTTGATTGAAATATGTGAGCTTATCTTGTGTCTGGCTTGGTAGACCGTTAATTACACATGATTTTACCCCTGTTCTCACACCGTTTGAGATGTGATTTCTCGTGTTTTAAGCAGATTTAACACTAGGTTGTGCTTGTTTGTGATATTTCAGGTCCTAGTACGTGAATGGAGGCTTGGGAGCGAGTTTGGGGTCGATTGGACGAAGATCGGGCGCGAGGCAAGTCACAAAGGAGGCCACACGGGCACACCCACAAATCACACGGCCGTGTGAGATTGTGCGAGAGAAAACACGGCCTGCCCTGACAACACACACGGCCGTGTGAAGAAGTGGCTTGGCCGTGTGACTTTCGCCGAGAGCAAACACGGGCAGATGGAAGTCACACACGGCCGTGCGACCCTGGCCGTGTGAGAAGCCTGAAATCGAACTAAGTGGAACGCAGCGTTTTGACTCACACGGGAAACTGGGTATGCCACACGGCCGTGTGGCCCTGCCCGTGTGAGTCGGGATTTCCTGGTTTTAACCCAATTCCGGGCTGCAAGAGAGAGAATTAGACTTTTTTAGCAAAAATAGAGCCCTAGAGAGAGAAAGGACGAAGAACACATCCTAGAAGCCATCTTGGAGCTGGGTTTCATCAAATCAAGCTTGGAGATCGTCATAGGAGTGGAAATCATCATCCCAAAGCAGATTCTTCCCATCAGTATGAGTATGACTGCTTTGTATCTTGTTTTCCTCTCTCTCTCTCTATGGAGTAGAACCCCTCTCTCACTTGGGGATGAAGAACCCTAGTTCTATGTGTTAGGGATTGATTGTAATGACTTGGGATGATATTACTGTTTGATTTTAATCGAATGATGCATGTTTATTGAGTCAATTGAAGTCTGATAAACTTTTCCTTATTCCTGCTGCAATCTGAGATAGATAGAATCTGATTAGGTTGCTAGAGTCTCATCATTCGATAGTAGGAGATTGGCTATACGAGAGTTAGCCAGTTTACTGCTTTGTACTGGAATCTAATTCCAGTAGTGGAGTTCTGTTCTTACTGCTTCAGCTTTCTATCCCGGTGAAGACTAGTCGTCTGCCGGGTAGTTAGACTGAGAGGGCTTGGTCAGCTTAAGAGATTCCAAGCTACTGTCGGATCTTCCGCAGTCTAATCAACAGTAAATCAACCCAGGGAAATACAATTGAAAGCTAACTAAGGAGCTAGGGGGATTCATTCCCGAGTGACTCTTACCTGCTTGAGAAAACCGAATAATTTCCTGCTTTCTTTCTGCTTTTGCTTTTAAACAACAATCACATACTTTAGTTGACTAGATAATAGAGAATCACTGAGTAAGCAGTAGACCTAGACACCGGGTTGATAATATAACTTGCCTGTTACTGCATTCCCGGTCTGCGATTACACTTGGTCGCAGATTGGTGTTGTGTTTTACCGTGTCAATAGACGAATAAAAAAACGCCTAGCGAAGTGGAGGGATATGGGTCCTTTTCCAGTATGCAAGTAGATGATAGATGAAGCTCGGTGAGGGTGGAGGAAGTGGAGAGGAAACTGTCGCCGTCGGGGAATACTAAGGGTTTCCGCCTCCGGATGAAGAGAAGACAAAAAAACAGGAGAGTAGAAGCCGAGGGAAAGCAAAAAAAAAGTGGCTGACGTGGATGCCTTTAGGTTTCAGTACGGATTACGTGTCATGGGTGCAAATCTCAAAGGCCTTTAATATATTTTAAGATTTAAGATTTAGAATAAATAAATAAATATAATAAAAACCCTTAACTAATATTTACAGGTTGGCACCTCTGTTTGTACACGGAGAATCTAAAACCATATAAATTTTCGAGGGTAATTATTTGTTTCTATACGGGTATGAGAAAATATTTTTGAAAATTTATTATGATGAACTGTCTCTTTAGCTAATAAGATCTGAAAAATATATTTAACAAAATATTTTTTTAGGGCCACACGTTAATCCTATAGTAACAAATTTTATATGTGTTTTTTATTAGCTACATATAGAGACAAATAATTATATATATATATGGAGGCAAATTGTATATTTGTTGTATAGTGTACTTTTAGAAATATATATAATATTTACCTCAATGATTTAGTTGCTGTACACCAATTTTCTTGTAGTTTTCACATAGATTTTTAAGTAGCACTTTATTAGAGGCAAACTCATAATTAGTAAAAGTATTAAGAAGATAAAAAAATACCTTTGTCATTTTTACATAGTAAACGACTAATTTGGAGTTATCGTATATGACCAAATTGTCAAGATAGCAAAATTAGAAGGTAAGTTCACGAAATATTTCGAGTATATTACATGACCCGTTTTGAATTTAACCTATGGCCTAGTTTAGTGCTTTAGTTGTCACAAATTGAAGTTATGTGCCTACTTTGTCCATACTCCATATAGCCATGTACAATGACCATGTCTGTCATTAACCCATTAGTTTTGCCCACTTCAGTTTCTTTCGCCACTTCAAGTTTTTTATCGATTCCTCAAGACATGTTTTATGTTCCAACCACAATCGAAACTATTTACAAATTACAACATATCATTCTGTAACCAGAAAAATGATCTTCTCCTCAACGTGTGTTGTCTGTCGGAATACAGTTGAAGATGTGAATCACATTGTTGTCTGTCGGAATGCAGTTGAAGATGTGAACCACCTCTTCTTTCCTCGTGAAGGGAGTTATCGCTTCCCTTTGGGCAATTTGAAACGCCCATAACGAATTCGTGTTCAGAGGGACTCATCCAAGGAATTTCACCACCATCTCCAACACAATCCAGCTTGCCTCTGATTGAAGTGGTTCCCTGTGAGCCCCTGCTCCTCCTTCTGAAAATCAACCCATCCAAACCCGTTCTATCATTATCCCGCCGCCTAGTCCTTTCCAATTGGAATTGCACTATAATGGAGCATTTGTCTCGGAATCTCAGGTGGCGATTTACAGTGATGGAAGGGCTGATACTCTACTTTGTTCAGAAGCGATTGTGGCAGAAGTAAAGGCTTTACTTACTGCTCTCAAAATGGCTAAAGACTCGGGCCTTTCGGCAAGGGTCTTCTCTGACTGTAAAACTATCATTGACGTGATTCACTCAACTTCCTCAAGAAGACCTTGGCAAATAATGTCTTGGATCCATTGTATACGCGCTATCGTTTTCGCAAAATGATAGAATCAGAGTCGATTTTGTATCCCGTGCATGTAACAACATGGCTGATTGGGTAGCAAAAGAGGCTTGTAAAGGATCTCTCCCATTGGATTGGATCCACATTCTTAATATTGTTTCTCCTCTTCTGTAAAGGCTTTGCTTGTAACTCAATCGCTTTTGAATAAAAGTTCTCACTACAAAAAAAACCCTAGAAAATCTGATAAGGACGAGTAAATGGTTCAGTTTCAGTTGCAACAGAAAAGCCGAAATCGAAATTTCAGCCCTCAAGCCAGGGCAAGAAAACAAATTTGACTTCCCCTTTCTGTCCTTGAAGCTTTTCTTTTAACAACATGCAATTGGATGGATACTAATACCGGGTGGGCAAACAAACCAAAAAGAAGGCCCCGTGTACAGTAGTGGGCGAACTAGACGGGGTCCATTTTCCCTTCACTTTAGCATGGTTACAACCCGAGATTGCCAAAATTCAAAATTACTATTATACCCTTGGGTCAAGTTCCACCGTATTATCGATAAGGATTAAAAATGTGAACTAATAGTTCAAACGGTGTCGAGTTTCGACATGAAGTGAAAAAATTATGAACATTAACTGAATTTCGGATTAAACACACCCATAATTAGGAAATTCCCAAATTAACCCGGCACAATTAAACCCTAACCCTACCTTCCACTCGACCTCGCCCCAAACTAACAAAACCCTTCATTCTTTTTATTCCCCAATCGTAAAGAGCTTGAGCGACTCTTTCCCCATCCGCCGCCCAAACTTTTCCTCTAGCTCGATCTCTGTCCCTCTCCGTCCCTCTCTTCATCACGGTACCACCATTATGGAGATCGCATCGTGACCTATGGCTTGACGGGGCAGTGAGAGAACTCAGGGAGCGGCCACCCTAACTCCCCCACCCACCGATTAAAAGCCTTTCGCACAAGGCTTGCAAGGGAATAAGCGGAGCAGCTCTCCCAGTGACTCCACGTCGGTTAGACGGAGGAGAAGGTGGCGATAAGTGATTTGCCATCTAATGTAAGACCCCTCCTCGTTTGCACTAAGAATGGAGCAGCGAGAAAAGAATGGGATCGGGCCGGAATCCTTTCTTTTGAGGTGAGTGATCGAACTCTACACTACAGTTAATGATTTTGAATCCTGGTGCATGATCTGTTTAGTTTGAAACATGATTGGAATGGCT